TGGTGCTCTTGCATTGTAGGTGAAGGTACATTAGAAGTTCGGCCTTTGACAGTGCTTGACTGTTGCTGTTATTGACATTCATTTGTGTGTGTGTGTGATAGAGAGAAAGAGATGAAAAGGTCGTATGTATCTAGAAGTCAAGTTGTTTGTTTATCGGGGTTTCTGAGTTGGTCAAAGACTGCAGCATTATCACATATGAAGTTTTCCCACATCAGCTGTATATGTGTGCTCCAGGCCATTGAAATCTTGTCGTCATAGAGATTGTTCGGAAAGATTTCATTGCTTTATTTAAAATCAAAGCTAGAATGTTTATGAACATACTCGTAAATGAGCTCGTTGATACGCGAAATGAATTTTTGAATTTTACGAATTTGTCAATATTACGATTGGTCAAAGACATTTGATATATTTCATTGCCATTTAGTGTTGGTATGTCACACCAAATGTAAATTAAGTAAGGTCTTAGGGAGCTGAAAGGAGCTAAATTATGTTTGAAGATTAGACGATGTTTAACGGATCAAATGATGCACGATTAAATAAATAAGAGAGCATAAATCGGTTTGCAAAGAGTTTCCTCCGCTTTACCATATGATCGTCTAGTCGAATATGTCTATGCCAACAAATCAATAAAATTTATATGCCCCCCCACAATATTCGAACTCTTCGAAAAAAAAAAACAATTTAGTCCCCACAACGTATATATATCAACATTAAATCCTATCAACATCGAACCCTATGTCGATTCACCCTGTCTGTCCATCACTGGAAACCACTCTAGCTAACAAGCTAACTGTATATATGTAATGCTACGCTCAGAATAAGCTATTTAGAGCCGGGAAATCAGGTCCTAGTTCCTCGCCTGGGGGACTTATGACAGTTCAGGTGTTGGAATAGTTGATGGCCGAAAATATTATTTTCGCCAATGCCTGGGTTATGCCCTAATCCACGCTATGGTATAGGATATTATATCTTTGCAAATTTGTATGTAAAATAAGGAAACGTGATAGATCCATACTTACTTCTGGCGATCTATCTATATTTTTCGATCTACCACATTTTAGTCAATTTATATCCACGTAGTCTTATAACCAAAATACGTGTCGTATCTGTTGTCGAGATAAAATTTTGAGCAAGTCGTTTGCTTGGTCCAAGGACAAACCCTATTGGAATAAATAAAAATCGATCAATATTTAGATACAGCTCCCACATATTTCTTCGTCGGATTTCAATTAAAAACTATTTTATATTTAAGTCGCACACAAATATTCAAATATACTACATATGGCCTAAAAAACTCAGATATCGGAATTTTTCCCAATAAACATGAAATCTGATGAATATATGTATGTTGTGTAATATCAGCCCGAATCGGTTGGATTTTGGAATATACAACAGAAGTCAGCCTAGAAGAGAATATGTCGAATTTGGTAAAATTCGATTCCAATGTAGCTATATCTCCCGTACAAATGGATTTAAATTTATATTTATGTCTCCCAAACTTATAATATGTTCTCCATAACAGTGATTTTCGGTGCACGAAAAAAAATTGTCGAGACCGGTCCAAATTTCCCCATTTGAAAATATATTTTTAAAGTCCATCGAAAAACGTGTATTTTTAAAAAATATTTTTTTAAAGCCCTTCGAGAAAAACATTATTAAGGTCTATTGAGAAACGTGGATTTTTTTTTTTAAATATTTTTTTAAGTTTATCGAGAAACGTGGATTTTTTAAATATTTTTTTAAGTTTATCGAGAAACGTGGATTTTTTAAATATTTTTTTAAGATTATCGAGAAACGTGGATTTTTTAAATATTTTTTTTAAGTTTATCGAGAAACGTGGATTTTTTAAATATTTTTTTTTAAGTTTATCGAGAAACGTGGATTTTTTAAATATTTTTTTTAAGTTTATCGAGAAACGTGGATTTTTTAAATATTTTTTTAAGTTTATCGAGAAACGTGGATTTTTTAAATATTTTTTAAAGGTTATCGAGAAACATGGATTTTTTTTTAAGTTTATGAAGAAACTTGGATTTTTTAAATATTTTTTAAGTTTATGAAGAAACTTGGATTTTTTAAATATTTTTTTAAGTTTATCGAGGAACGTGGATTTTTTAAAGTTTATCGAGAAACGTGGATTTTTTTTTAAGTTTATGAAGAAACTTGGATTTTTTAAATATTATTTAAGTTTATGAAGAAACTTGGATTTTTTAAATATTTTTTTAAGTTTATCGAGGAACGTGGATTTTTTAAAGTTTATCGAGAAACGTGGATTTTTTAAAGTTTATCGAGAAACTTGGATTTTTTAAATATTTTTTAAAAGTTATGAAGAAACTTGGATTTTTTAAATATTTTTTTAAGTTTATCGAGAAACGTGGATTTTTTTAAGTTTATCGAGAAACTTGGATTTTTTAAATATTTTTTAAAAGTTATGAAGAAACTTGGATTTTTTTTTTAAATTTTTTTAAGTTTATCGAGAAACGTGGCTTTTTTTTAAAAATTTTTTATGTTTATCGAGAAACGTGGTTTTTTTTAAAACGTTTTTTTTAAGTTTATCGAGAAACGTGGATTTTTTTAACATTTTTTTAAGTTTATCGAGAAACGTGGATTTTTAAAAAAAAAATTAAGTTTATCGAGAAACGTGTATTTTAAAAAAAAAATTAAGTTTATCGAGAAACGTGGATTTTTTTAAAACATTGTTTTTTAGGGTATCGAGAAACGTGGATTTTTTTAAAACATTGTTTTTTAGGGTATCGAGAAACGTGGATTTTTTTTAAATTTTTTTTTTTAAGTTTATCGAGAAACGTGGATTTTTTTAAAACATTTTTTTAAGTTTATCGAGAAACGTGGATTTTTTTTAAACCTTTTTTTAAGTTTATCGAGAAGCGTGGATTTTTTTAAAACATTTTTTTTAAGTTTATCGAGAAACGTGGAGTTTTTTTAAACATTTTTTTAAGTTTATCGAGAAACGTGGATTTTTTTAAACATTTTTTTAAGATTATCGAGAAACGTGGATTTTTTTTAAACATTTTTTTAAGATTATAGAGAAACGTGGATTTTTTTTAAACATTTTTTTAAGATTATCGAGAAACGTGGATTTTTTTAAACAATTTTTTAAGACTATCGAGAAACGTGAATTTATTAAAAATTTATTTTTAAAGCCCATCATTCCGTTTGTAACTCTTCGAAGTATTCATGTTCGATTCTTTAAAGTATATTTTCTTGATCATCATACAATTCTGAGACGATTTGATGTCTGGTTTAATCATGCTTTGCAAACAAATTTTGTCAGTAAGGTAGTTGAATGGGTCACGTCAGTCCAGTTTTTTTTTTTATATAATCCCACATATTCAAACTGAATCAGTTAAAATTCGGGACTCAGAGTTTGTAACGGGTTCTAAATCCCCCATATAACTGAGCTCCCCGATATTCAATATTTTCCCAATTGTGGCCACATTTTCTAACAGGATTGTTTGATATCAGTACATTGGTTTCGTAATGAATTCTATCTCTTGTGGCAAATCGTTGCCTTCATAAGTTCCCGTTTTGCTATAGCCCCCCCAGGTTTCTGTTCTTCCCGATATCCAGTTTTCTGATGAGTTTTTCGAGGGGACTCGTTTAACATTTGGCATGTAGAATTTCTGTGGCAAACCACTGCTACAATAGGCACATTATTTCTTTCCTGTCTTGGATACCTTCGAATAGTTAGTAATTTGGCCACAATTTTTAGGTAGATCCCCGAATCACCGACTTTGCGATTTTTTTTTTTTGTTTTTTATAATTTTTTACCAACCAATTTCAATGGAAAGAATGGAAGTGGACCCAATATTTGATCCCTATTATTTTATTTTTTAAGTTTTCTTTATCTCTTGGTGGAAGGTTCGGGCCGCTTGAATTAACCTGCTTTAACTTTTTGTGTGTTTTTTTTTTTTTTTTTTTTTTTTTTTGGGGTTGACCCCTATTTTTTAAATAATTTTTCAATGGCGTTCCATAAATTGAGACTCTTAAAGATATTTCTTTATGGAATTTATTTAAGATGATTATTTTTTTAAAATATTAGAAGTATTTCTTCATGACCAATCATTAAACGTGAATAAAAATATACTTAAAGGAATTAGCGACCCGACATCATTAATTTTTTTTTCAAGTTCTTTACAAAATTCAAATTTCTTAAAAATATTCTTTCGTGATTTATAAACAAAAATAAATCTTTGAAAAAAAATATATAATTGTTTAACAAAAAATTGATTTAAAAACAGCTATAAAAAGCATGGATCAATTGAAGTATATGTTTTGTAGGCCTATCAAAAATTTTAATTTATATTTAATTAAAAATTGGCCTCCATCAACTAACACGCATAAAAAAATATTCTATTTATAAAAATCCAAAATGATAATATCAAGAAGAAGAAAAAGAAGATCATTAAAGCCTTCTCATAGAAGTACATATAGACTTATCATAGTAGAAAAATTGGTCTTCTCATATAAGGCCAAATGATCTTCACTTAGAAGGACAACTGGTATTCTCATAGATGGTCAAATGGGCTGTGGAAAAACTGCTTAAAAAAGTGAATTTTTGGAAATTATTTACCAATGGGTTATTGATTTTTTTTCAATGTCTATTAAAAATCGCAAAATTTTTGAAATGCTTTTTCCATCATGCTGATGATCACAAAAGACAACATTTTTGAAATGACAATGATTTATAAAATTTAAAGGTCAAATTCTAGCCACCCACTGTATATCCACCAATATTCCAATACAATTAAACGTGAGGTCTACGACGAAATTATGTCAAAAATTTGTTTGCTTTCCACACCATTGCCATTAATATTCTCAATATTACTTCAATATCTCCCCATATCTCCAAACCATCGATCCAATTCCAATTTCAATGCATAAATTATTCCCCCCCCCCCCCCCACTGCCACTTCATCCATAAGTTTATTCCTTCCTTCGAACACATACTCGGTATTAACCAAATTGATCAACTTAATACTTACTGTATGCGGCACATGGTATGCCCGTGTAGGCGTGGGCAGCATGAAGACATCGATGAGTTCGGGTTGTGCACTGTAATGCCTTCTCATATGAATTATAATCAGGACTTAAGCGACGTTCCGCCTGCGGAAAGAGCACACATACAAACATATGTAAATAAAAAATAAACACGGAAATAACATTCATTGCCTTAAAGCGAATCCAATGAAGAAGAAACACAAAAAAAAAAACGCAATTGCCAAAAACAATGCATTTCCCTTTTGTCGTTTACTTACCTCGTCATAAACTTCATTTATATTTTGGAAATTGTATGTTCCCGGTTTTTGTAGCGCCTTCAGTGTTTCATACAGGAACAATTCGAAATTCTTAAAGGTGTATTCACTGAAATTGTAGCGTCGCAGCCGGGTGCCTGTCTCGCCGCCCAAGGCTGCACACGATTTGTGATAATCGTCAACAGCGCGTTTTACCAAAACCGCTTCGTTAAGTTTATTCGAACGTATTTGCAGTGATTTCAATTCGAGCAGATGCTGGAAGATCTTACGCTCCATGTAATACCTGCAGGAAAGAAACAACAAAAACAGCAACATCAACAACAAATGTGAGAAAAAAGTGTTGAAGGAAATCATAAAAACAAGAAACGCCAATGAACAATCAACCACATCGATGGCGTTATACGAGTTAGTTAGTCATAAAATGTTATCGACAACAGTTGGGGTCAAAAGTTGAAGTTTCATATGTATCAAATTCTCCTCTCTTAAGTATTAAGAGCCAAAAGGCTCTTCTTATATAATATCAAATGGTCTTCTTACAGGGGACTAAACTGACACCAAAAAAAAAAGGTTCTTCTAATAGATTTGATCACCTGATCTTCTCTTGAAAAAGGTCTCCTAATCGAAGAACCAGGGCTTTTCGCATGCAAGACCGATTGGTCTTCTCAAAGTGGAAAAAATGGTTATCTCATTGAAGACCAAGGGATCATTTCTTGGAAAGTCAAAGGGTCTTTTAATAGAAGTCAAAAAGGACTTCTCATAGAAGACCAAAGGGTTTCTCAATGGAACCAAAATAGTCTTCTCAAAGAAGACCAAGAAATATTCTCATCGAGTACCAAAGGGTCTTTCTATTAGAGATCCATGGGTCAACAGAGAGATCCCAAAGGTTTTTATACGGAAGACCAACGGTTATTATCATAAAAGACCAAAGGTCATCTCATTGTGGACCAAAGAGTCTTCTTATTAGACATGCATGGGTCTCCATATGGAAGACCAATGGTAATTCTCATAAAAGACCAAAGTGTCCTCTCATTGAAGACCAAACCGTCCTCTCATTGAAGACCAAAGGGTTTTCTCATCGAGGGCCGAAGGTTCTTCTTATAAACACCCAAGGGGTCTTTCCATGAAAGACCAAAGAGTCTACTCATTGAAAACCAAAGCATGTTCTCACAGAAGACCAGAAGACGGTTAATCTTCTAAAAAAAACAAAAGCCAAATCATTAAAAATCAAAGGGTTTTCTCATCGAAGACCAAATGTCCTCGGGGACCAAAGGGTCTTCTCATTAGAGACCCAAAGGGCCTTTTTTTAAAAGACCAAAGGTTCTTCCCATAGAAGGCGAAAGGTCTTCTTATGAATTTCCAAAGGAAGTTCTCACAGAAGGTTAAATGGTATACTCCGACCCAGGACCCAGGGTTCTTTTCATCAAAGACCAAGAGTGTCTTTTCATAGAAGACCACCTGATTTTCTCTTTTAACAAGTAAAAAAGTATCGGTTGTTTTAGCCGACAGATATATACCCTCAGCCAATGAAAAAATGGGTCAATATTCATTTCATATCGCACCTAAATATATATGATATAAATATTATTATGAATATATAAGAAAATCGAACGTTTCTATCCAATTTATGGGAAATATTAAATTCCATATTCATCTCAGGATTCTGATTGAGAGACATAAATATAGCAAGTTGTAATGAATCACCGAGTTGTTTCACAATTTAGGACAGATAAAAGTATTGAAAATTGTGTCCCTTTGTGGGTCAGGTACCAAAAGGGGTTGGCAGATATATAGCATCTTCACAACAGATCTTGTGTTAGCAAAAATGTTTGTATGTGTGAAATTTGAAGAGAGTTGGATTCTTTTTCAGATTTCTTTGAGCGTTTTCTTTTTCAAAATTTGAACCCTATGTGGAAATGGCCCGATATCCACCACCTTTATAACAGATCGTGTGTTGATGGAAATATTTTAGATGTACCATGTCTGAAATGGAATCGGATGTTGATTTCGCTTTTTTGAGGTTCATGGATATTCAAAATTTTGAGCGTTTGTGAGCGAGGTAACAGAAGATATTGTCAATTTTCTCACCAGACCTAGCACCAACGCAATTATTAGGATTTGCAAAGTTGGAGCAAAATCCGATAATCGTTTCTCCTTCTGTGCAAAAAATATATATTTTTGAAAATGTCGATCATTTGTGGGGGAGGTACCAGATGGAGTGGACCAATATATTCCATCTTAACGCCAGATCATGGGTTAATACAAATATTGAGATTTGTGTAATTTGAAGACAATCGGACTCTTACATCACATTTTCTAAGAGTTGTAGTTATTCAAAATTTTGACCATTTGTGGGGGAGGTACTTGTTCGAGTGGACCGATATTGGCCATTTTCACACCTGATCTAGCACTGACGCAAATACTAGGATTCGCAAAATTGGAGCAAAATCGGGGAGGTACCAGAAGGAGTTGACCGATACTGCCCATCTCCGAACTCGATCTAAGTTTGTCAAAAATATTACGACGTACCAAATTTGGACCAAATCGCTAGATCGACTCCAAATGTTCTGAAACGGATTTGGTCCAAAGAGACCTAGGGTCTAAAACCGTTATTTCGACTAGGCACGTTTTGACGGTTTCAAATGATATATACCCTCTGTAGCCATATGGCTGAGGGTACAAAAAGGGTGTCATCAGAGAAAAGGGGATCTTCTCGTACATAACCGAATGGTGTTCTCATAGAAGGAAGAAGAGTCATCTGATTGAAGAACAGAAGTAATTTCATCAAAGACCAAAAGGTCTTCTCAGAGAAGACCAAAGTATCTTCTTATAGAAGACTAAGGGGTCTACTCACAAATCACCCAAGGGGTCTTCTCATAAAGATCAAGGGGTCTTCTCATAGAGATCAAGGGGTCTTCTCTTACAGGACAAAGAAGAGTAAAAGTTGCTCTTATAGAAGGCGCAAGGATCTTTCCACAGAAAGACAAAAACATTGCCTTTTAACTTTTCTCCTCGACTGTTCAAAACTTTTTCTACCCTACGGGGAATGAAAAAAGCACAGGCAGCAATAAGAATATGTGGCAGGTAAAACAATTACACATGAACAAGCTGGTTTGGTTGGATGTGCGGCACTGATGTGGTGGCATGTGTTGCTTTTAGATCCTTAAGGCATTCCAACAAGCACATGGAGAGTAAAACGAATGAATATGGCAATGAATGAACGAATGAGTGATATTTGCACACATCTGGCTTTTTCTTCCATCCCTCCCCAAAGGCAAAGGGAAATGGCAAGAACTTTGTTTTGAGGTACTTTTCAATATGTCGAAGTACAATCCTTTTCCTTTCCATTCTTTTCGGGTTTTTTCTGCTTCTTTTTTGCAACAGATACTGCTGCCATTTTTCATGAGATGCGACAAAAGGAAATTTCACAGACATTCTCGCACACTCATACATTGATTATGCCTTTTTGAAGGTGCGAAATAGGGTATCAGTTTGCAAAAACCGAGAACGAAGACGAAGAAATTGTGAAATAAGAACAAAAAAGAACCAGAAAAAAGTGTTGGCATTCAGTAATCGGTGGTTATAACTTACAACATGCTGAGCATTGTCGTATTTTTACATTTTCTTCTTCCTTCCTCACACACATACACAGGAACGCACAGCCAGCCCAATGGTGTTTGCTATCCTGGAATTGGTGTTGACATTCGAAAAACGCAAATGTGAATGTAATATTTGAATTATGTGCCCAAAGAAAGCAGAATAACATAAATGTGTGCCAATGTGAGTATGATTGTGTGGTCTATTTTAAAAGGAAAGTTTTAACTAAATTAAATAGGTTCATTGAAAATATACCAAATTGTAGGGAAATTTAAATATATCTGGAAAATTTGAGTTTTCATATTTTTATATAGTGGTCAAAGTAGCCCTACTTTGAACATTTAGAATAAAAGGATTCATATCTTCCGAAACCTTTAAGATATGTAATTCGCAGCTACCTTTTTAAATTGATACAGGTCTATGGGTTACAAACAAAATCATTTGCACGAAATATGGGTCATGCAGGTCCACGTTTTGTTATAACCTCCATATAAGAGTATACCCCGATTTTAGGTATTTTTTATATGTTTCCAACTTGGGTTTATAGAACTGATTTCAGCTTTTTATGGGTTATTGGTCACAATTTGTCATTTTTGAGTAGGAAACTTCTTTGCATAAAATTTTCAATATACAGGGTGAGATGAGATGCAACAAAGTCAAACTCCATTTTTTTTAAATGTTGTTGTTGCAAAACGGTCAGGCTTAATCCCTTTATTGTTGTTTTTATAAAAACAACGTTTGTTTATTAGTGGAGAACGATGATAATGTTTACCAGGGGGTAAGGCAGGGAATACCTAGGTTTCGGAAAGAGTCACCAATCCTCATCAGTTCCCTTGTTTTTATACCCTATACCACAAGGTGGTCAGGGTATTATGTCTTTGTGCATTTGTTTGTAACAGGCAAAAGGAAACGAGATAGACCCATAGTTCCTTTTGATGATCTGCATAGAATCACATTCTGAGTCGATTTATGAATGTCAGTCCGTCCGTCTGTCCATGTATTTTTGTAAAAAAGTACAGTTCGCATTTATTGCGATGAAATTTTGAACAAATCATTTGTTTGGCCCAACGACGAATCCTATTGAAATTGGAGATAATCGGTCAAAAATTTAGATATAGCTCCCATATATATCTTCGTCCGATTTGCCTTTTATTGTGCACCAAACGTGTAATATCAGGCCGAATGGTATGGAATTTTGCACATACAACCAAATTAGTCCTGAAAATAAGTGTGCCTAATTTTATCGAAATCGGTTCAGATATAGCTATAGCTCCCATATATATTGTTCATCCGATTTGTTATTTTTGTCCCCCGCAGCCGTAATATGCACTCTGCAACAACAATATTTGGGGAAATATATCAAACACAGCTCAGAAATAACCTTGCTAAATTTTATCGACATCGGTTCAGATTTGGATATAGCTCCCATATATAACTTCGTCCGATTTACCTTTTATTGTGCACCAAACGTCTAATATTTGCCCAAATGGGATGAAATTTGGCACTTACGACCGTATTGAGTCTAGAAGCTACTATGTCAAATTTGGTGAAGATCTGAAGATAAAGGTATGGCTCCCATATATATTGTTCATCCAATTTGTTATATTTGTTACCCACAGCCGTAATATGCACTCCGTAACGACGATTTTCAGGGAAATATATAAAATACAGCTCAGAAATATCTTTGCC